AAAAGATCTTCAGAAACAAAAAATATCGAGTTGATGAGCACAAAATAATAGTACCTAAGTAAGTATTACCATAAGCGGAAAGGCCTAGCGGGAAAACGAGCATTTCCGGTGGGTCCCCCTTCGTATTTCGGCAATGGGGCCTTATAATTTTAAACAATTACAATACAAATTTGAAGAATATAATAAATAATAATGTAATATGATATCTATTACTATTCTGAGGTGTTTTATAAAAGATTTCTTATTGGCCCGTAGCAGCCGCGATGCCACTAATAACAACGTCGATTGCTATTTGGTAGCGGGTAGTGGTCACGGTTGTGCCTGGTAAGGTAGGTAATAAACTCACAAATATGTTGTTGTAGATACAAGTTGAAAACATTAGAAATGTATTATTTTGTCTTATTTATGTGATAGAGTTATTTGAAAAGCGTGGATTAAGTTATTGAGGTAAAACAAATGAGGCTGCTCATTCACTCGATAATTTTTCCTTAGACCATGGGAATTTTTTGGAAATAACTTCTTAGTTAATTTAATTCCTTAATTAAATCCCACTTAGGTAAAGTTGCAGAAAAAATTTAAAAATGCAATAATGCTGGAGCTCAACAAGGAAGAGTTAACCAACCAAGTTACTTATTTTTTAGAAACTACAATTAATTATATTCTTGAAATTATTGCTTAAAAATATAAAATTTACCATTTCTAATGAAGTAAAAGATGCCGTTATATATTCTGTACAACTCGTATAGCAACTATTTAATTTATGTCTGTAAACAACGATAAACCATTACTGATAAAATACGATTCTAAAAGAAGTTTGAGTATACACATTTTAAAATGCCATAATATTTACGAATTTTGTCAAAATATGACCTTAAAACGCTTATGAAAAAACTGCTATATTACGCTCAACTTTTTATTTTGTGACCATTAATTTTAAGTTATTAAATCTTATAATGAACCTAGAATTCAATTTTCAAATAATTCGGTCAAAATTTGAGCTCATAATAGTTTTTAACCAATCAACAACAAAAAACCATAAATCGAAAATTACGAATATCATCACAAACTCAAGATTAACCGTTTTCATAATGATATTGTCTACAGAAAATGAGATTCAACAAAATTTTAGCTTTGATAAAACTGTAAAAATATTTGCTACACGAAAGCAAGAAAAAAGATTTTTACATAAAATACGTACTTACTATTATTTGTAAATGTATGTATTAAAAAAAAAAAATTATGTGATTTTAATATTTTTTTTATACTTAATTTAAAAAGTTTAAATATGTTTAAATAAACATTTTGATTATTTTAAAAGTTCTTTTCGATGGTGGGGGCCCACAACTGTGTATTGACTTCTGGATCCCTGAAGGTCTAAGTCCGGGATTGCCGCTACGTCCAAAATGAAAAAAAGGTTTTTTTATATTTTTGATTAGAACAACATTTCTGGTAGAAGAATTGTTTACAGAGAGATAAAAATGATACCAAATGCACACATCATAATATAGTAAAACTAATATATTTTTCGCTATATTTAGAATTTTGAAATGTTTATCGCAAAAAAAAAAGTCTTGTACAAGAAACGACAAAGGAAACGACGATTACATAATTTTTTAAATACGACATAACCTTTTAATTGTTTTTAAAGACCGTATTGAGTAATTAACCTACCACAAAGGATTAATATTGCACCGTTGACTATACGTGTTATGACGTTTATAGTATTCATTTTACTACTTTTACTACATTGTGTATTGTTCGAACATTGTTCGTGTAATAATACCGTGATTATTTTTTTCATGATGACGGCGATATTATAATACAGTGCTTTCATCATCAACACTGTGTATTGCTCCATTCCCATCAATCGAATGGTACAAATATTGATATACCTATACCTGTATAGATTATTACAAAAGATCTAGAGTACGCGAACTTTTGACTTTCACGTCCGAGTACCATCGCCGCGTAAACCCTATAAAGACGGTCGTGTGCAGCCCAGTGTGTAGTCGACATTTTACGCTCATCGCTATTCTCTCGGCTTGTGATCCAATCCGCAATAATTTCCGTTCGTGTCGGGGTCGTCTTGATTACTATACTATAATAATATTATATAACTATAATGGCCATAGAATGGAGTGCTGCTTACTGGCCGGCAGCGGTTATTCAGGTGTCCGTGGCCGTCGCGGCCGTCACTGTTCTGCTGGGCTACGCGTATTCGACGTACCACTACGGCAAGTGGAATCGTCTCGGGGTGCCGCACGCCGATAGGCCGACACCGTTGCTCGGTCACCTGGCCGACACCATCATGGGCCGCATGGCACTCATCAATCTGGTGCACGCGTTTTACGGCCAGTTCGACGGGTGCCGGTATTTCGGGATTTACGAGGCGCGCAAGCCTTTGCTGGTGCTCCGCGACCCCGAGCTGGTGCACAGCACATTGGTCGGGGACTTTACACATTTTTACGACCGAAACGCAAATAAGGTGTCGTTTAAGCACGACAAGCTGTTCGATCACCTGGCGAACCTACGGGGCGAACAGTGGAAAGCGGTCAGAGCTAAACTCAGCCCCACGTTCTCGTCCGCCAAGCTCAAGTCCATGGTAGGCGATATGAACGAGTGCACGGAACGGCTAATTGAAAACCTTAACGGGCAGATAACGAGAAATATCGGTGTGTGTATAATAATAGTCGTTACCTA